AAATTGATTGGCTCTCAAATGCTGGCCGCGGGAGCGTGCGCGGAAGGACTTTAATAAGATTAATGCTTAAAAACAATTGTTTGCTTGACATTATAGTCTCAGTTTAACTTTTCCTTAATAGATGCACTTTAATGGTCAAAACAACTTCATTTCAAAAATCGATTGGCGGCTGCGCACGAGAGGACCCGCTGTTGCTCCGTGCCTAGATGGCCCTCTAGCGGCTGCAAATGGTAATCTTTAATCTGGTGCAAGTTGGAATGAATAAAAGAGTCAAACGTTGGTCAAAAAATGTGGAAAAAAGTATTAGTCACTTTAGTGTATAAGTCGCAGGACTTGCAAACTTATTGCACAAAGGTGCGACTTATACGGAAACATACAATACTTGCTATTGAGTCCAACATTATGTTAATCTGCAAGGAATCTGTCTGATTCCAGGAGCAGAATTGTCTAAGGCAGACCCAAAATTTTACCGTTTATTTAATTGTCATTTCAAATGGCAGCAACTTAGCACATTTAAACACTGTGAAGACGACTCTGAAGTTTGAATAGAGATTCTATTTATCTATTGGGATTTCCACGTACATTCAACTATAAGGTTCACAGAGAATGGTCTAGGGGAAGTATTCGGTGATCAGCAGTTGTGTGGACAAGAGTGCCTTGTTGATGTAAGAAGAAAATTGACAGAATGGTTTGGGATGAGAAAACAATTGCTTATAAAAATAACGGGTTTTTTTTTTTGCGTAATTTGCATGCCCTGCGACAGATTTATGAATTTTTCCCATATTTATAAACCAATTTTTGGCTGACATATGACAGTTTTCATTCATTCTGACTGGAAAAATTGAACATTACCATTTTCAGCCGCTAGATGGCACTCTAGTAGTAAGGCATACTGTTGTATCATGTAATGGGTAAAAGTGACTATTAATGACCAATTCAAAAAAGTTCAAGACAAAAACAAGTGGACTTTATCGTTTTTGTCTTTTTTGAATGTACCATGTCCTGGATGACTGAGAATCTTCAGCAGCTATTAATTTCACAATTGGCTTGCCATAGACTGCCACCTTCATTCTGATCACTGCCCCAGCGAAATGCAGCTAATTTGACCATTAAAATGCATTTTAAGTAAAAGGTAAACTGTGAAACACTATAAAGTCGAGCAAACGAGTAATTGTTTTTAGGCGTTTCTCTTGTTAAATTTCAAATAAACGCATAACTCATCCTTCTGCGTATCGGCTTTTGAAATACAGCAGATTTGACTATCAAAGTGCATTTATTAAGCAAATGAATAATTGTTAAGTGTTAGTCTTGTTAAATTCTTGTTAAGTCCTCCTGGGCACGCTCCAGTAGCTGCCAATCGATTTTTGGCACAACACCAGCCCACTTTTCCAGGTTGTCAGCGGTGACGCATAATAGGTGCGACTTATTTATGGATTTTTCCACTTTATTAGACATATTTGGACTGATGCGATTTATAGGGTGGAAAATGGTAACCTCGAAGAAGGTGGGCTACAGAAGACCACAACAGGTACCACTTTTTCATCTTAAGAGCAGGAAACTGAGGCTAAAACTTATTACGAAAATTGTACAATAAGATTGGCAAGATATTCTGGTCAAATTTTTTGAAAAGTTTTGGCACTTAAGATCAGTCTGTCTTTAAGCTGAGAGGACATACAGCTCTATGCATTAAATGTTCGATGAACATCTTCCTCATATCATTTTTAAAATGTGAAATTTCTCAGCTGAGTGATCCTCTAAATACAAGGTTGCTGTGTGTTGTCATCCATCTTCTCCTCGATAATAAATCTATTGTTTAGACTTAACATCTCATGAACCGGTAGTTGTACAGACCACGTCATTACTACATCAACAACAGCAGTGGAATGGTTTCAACCTCACGTGCTGCTTTGGTCCACTCAGACATTACATACAATGAGGAGGTGAGAAGGCATCTTAAGTTCCAGCTTAAAGCGCTTTCTGTAAACCCCGCAGATGGTTGTGGGTGAAAATAGGCGTCATCTCCACCACCTCTCAATGCCTAAACGCAGTGAGTTGCTGCAATATAATTGACTAATTTGCTATTTATGTTAACAAGCAATTGAACAGGTGTACTATCCACGATAAGGAAAAAGGTGGACTAGAAAAGACAACCACTTTTTAAAGCAGCAGTTCTAAATATAAATGTGAAGAAAAGGCATAGTAATGAAGAATGAGAAACCATCACTGCAAACGGAACACACAACAAGCTGAATAAAACCGAACCACTTACGCGTGTGGTTTTCTACTTTTCTTAAAAATGTGGAAATGAAGAACAGAAGAAGGAAAAGTGTGGAAGACCTGGAACTGAGCTTTGTGAGGAAGATGGAAGAGTCGAGGGGGTGGAAGAGGAGGGTAGAGAGGAGGCCGGTGAGGGGTGTAAATGTGACCCAGTGACCAGCGGCTGGTGGGAGTTTTGATGACCTATAGGGGCAAAGGTCATACTTGTCAAAGTAAGCTAGATGCAAAGTAAGCATCAACAAAGCAGCACGGCAAAACCACAGCAAAGACACAGCAGCTGCATGGCAACAAGGAAAGGCAACAGCACTCCAAACCACAGCAAAAACCATGGCAACAGCATGGGACAGCAGCATCACTGCAATTCAGGAAAACTCAAGCTGGAAATGGCAATGATATGCCACATTAACCTAGCAACAGCTCTGCCACTTTAAAAACCCATACTAATCAAATAAAAGGGATAGTACTCGTTAAAGAATAAACCACATACAAATACTTGTGTCTTAAATGCAATTTTGTCGTCAAGCCTGTGAGTTATTTGGTTATTGATCGTTTAAAGGTATGCACTCACATTATTATGCTGTTGTCATTTTATACCATAAATTAGTAAAAAGCAGATACAACATTTAGGACTAAAACATTTAGCAAAAACTAATTTTTGCAGCAAGGCAAACAAGAACCAGAAAGCACCTCTTGTGACAAAACGTATTGCACATATCTTGATTTAAGCCATAGCTTTTCTCTTCTTTAACATTAAAACCTACATCCTTTGACTGATTTCCGTTACCAGTTGTTAACCTTTAAATGTTTTCCTTTTTTGAGCTTCTAAAAACATACAGCCTTAATTCTTCCATTTATTGTCCTCTGTTTATCTAAGGTCATGGCAGGTATTCCAGACTTGAGCAACAGTTTCCTGATCCTCCTGGGGGATTTTGAATCTAGCCATCAACAATACAGCTAATATTGCCACATGTCCTCCCGCTCACAAAATATCCTAAAACGTTTCCAATACACAAAAGCTGAGGGGTCAACGCCAAGCTCCTTCTGGAGTTCTTAGGTTCTTGATTTATTATTAAGGCTTGGCAACAGTAGAAAAAAAGTCTGTTCTTCAGCAGAAAGGGACAGGACTCTACAGTAAGACACACTGGCACTGTTTTCAATAGAAGTGTAAACTATTGTATCAAAAAAATTTTCTTATTTTTTTGGGGGGGGGGGGTTGAGAAAATTGCAATTAAACCTATATACTACTCTATAATACACTTATTGCAGCGACAAACTATACTTTGGTTAAACTCGGCAACATCACTTCAGTGTTATTTTACAGATTTATACCTGCCCTGATTTTGTACAACTAAGTTCACAAAAAAATTGGAAGCAGCTGCACTCATAAAATGTAAACAACATAAATATTTACACTCGGGTGTAGAAGGAACTGAAACAAAGCAACTATGTTACTGTAAAGCATAAAGAGATGCCACAGAATGGTGATTATGGCTGGTTGGTGGCAGGAATACTAAGTGAATCCTGCAGCACACCACAAGTCATTAACTCCATGTGCACACAAAGGAATGCAGGGGAGGAAAAAAGGCTATTAATGGTTAATGTAATGGTTGCTGACTCAGCAGACTGTGTGTACATATGCTGTCGTCCATCATCTCTGTAGGCATACAACCACTCACAAATTCTGCGTGCGGTTTCCAATTTTTTTCCTTGGGATGCTCTTTCATCCCCATCTTTCATCTAACTTTACAGAGACCATTCCTCTGATGTCACCACAGTCATCTCTTTCATGGCTCATACTTTACAAATATAAAGATCTAAAATGTGCTTTAAGCACACAGTTATAGCAGTCATGGTCATATGATGCTGGCTCCTTCAGACAGACGCTGTTGAGCCAGATGACGGAGGAGAGAAGGGTTGTGCAGAGTGAATTACGGCAACTACTTTTAATGATTTGAGCAGAAAAAGCTTTGATTTTTCCTGTAGTGGCACCAATTCATTTTACGTGGATTACTGCAACAACATGTGGGAAGATAGAATGCTTGAAGAGACCAATCTAATTCTAAATAGCCCTGCAGACTAGCAGTATCATAACAATCTGACAAAATGAGGATATTCTCCATCCTCCTCAAACATCAACACGCAGACTCTCACAAACCCAGAGTGAACTAGCAGGCCTCCCTGGATCACTACGCAAACAGGCCTCATCAATCAGGCGACGGTGTAAGAGACCACAGGGAGAGAGAGACACTTAACAGATCAAATATCCACACAGACCTTTGCCACTTTGTTCGCTGGGCCAGGACACGCACAAAAAGACAAGCAGCCAGGATAACACTAACAAAGAGTGGAATATGATAAAAATGTGCAGGGACAATAGACTGGAATGGGTCATAATGAGACTGGTTGAAGTGAAAATGTGAGTTAATGGAATGCTGGTTAGTGTTGACCAGAAGTTAATATTAAAATAAAAGTCAAACTCGAGTTCAAGGGTTAAAGAAGCAATGTCAGAAGTGAAAATCCATCCCAGAAGACAATACTCCTTTTGTTTATAAGATTACCTCTATCCTTTGATGCAATTTGAAGAGGAGGATGAAAGTAATAAAAATGGTATTCTGCTAAAGATTTTGGGCACTTCTCCATTTTGTTCACTTTAAGCAGATGGTCTGGAGAACCTCCAGCATGGATTTTCTCTCAGTCGGTGTTAGTGCAGTACTGATGCTTACTGATTTGCGGATGTTGATGCGGGGTTTGGGAACAGGTTTGTTGGGCTTCATATCAAAGCTTTCCGGAAGTGTTGACGACCCGTGGCCACTCTTCCTGGCTTGCAGGGCCAGCTGGTAGGCCACCTCAAAGGCCTGGCCGAGTGTCAGGATGATCTCGTAGGCCAGATTCTAACAAGATATGAAAAACAAACAGCTGTGAGATTACAAAGTAAGTCTGAAGAGCCTGCAAGCCCGGAGTGTCAGGACTGACCACATCAAAAGCAGTAAAGACGTGGCAGTAGTGATGACTGGATTTGAGGTCTTTGGTGATGTAGGCAAACGTTGACAGATCATCTGGATCCTGAGCAGCACATGAAATGTTGCGGATCTCATGCTCTGCGATAATGTTCTGCAGAGAGAAGGGATACAAAGAGACTTGGTACAGAATAATCACTGAGTGCCTCCATGAAAAAAAAAAAAGTATTTATTATTCATCTCCAAACCCTATCATTACAGCACAGTGTTGGTTGAGTTTGAATTTGTCCTCTGGTTATGTCTCTGCAGAACACTCAGACTTTGTTTTTTGGTAATTAAAGCCCATCTCGGTGAATAAAAGGACATCAGAACCCAGAAAGAAAGTTTAAGTTGGAAGTTTGTTTAATTTATAGCCAGTGGGCCAACAAAAATGATTAACAGCATTGGAATAAGCAGATAGATACAAGCTACTGAATATTTTTTACCAGCTTCCTTCTATATCATCACTAATTTATCCAGATCTGGTTTTTTTTGTTTTTTTTGGGGGGTGGGGGGGTGTATAGAGATTGATCTACTTAAGTGTTTTTTGTTGGTTTTAATTTTAGACTGCTGCTGTAGTTTTTAAACCCTTAAATCTGTTATCTAAAAAGTTTTTTATAATTCAACATTTTTTGTTTGAGTGAATGAAGTTTAGCAAATTTTGCAGATACCTTTAAATCTGTGCTTTGACTCAATCTTGTCTCACATGATTACAGATGAATTTTAAATCAACATCCAACTGCCAGGACGTAAAACTTCATGTCAACATGTTCGCCTCTTTATATATTTCCAATAAATTCAATTAGCTCCATGTGGATTCCAGCTGGAGACTTACCTTAAAGACCACTGCTGAAATGTCCACCAGAGTTTAGTTGTGAAAATCACAACTATAGATCAGTTTACTGTAGTCCCTTGCTACTTCGCGTTTTTTTTTTTTCAAAATAATATTGGACATGACACACAATTGGTTGATTGATGGATGAGCTGCACGATCGGCATGGAATTTTTATTTAAAATAAATAATTTAAAATTATTTAGCACCTGCTGCATAATCAGCTGTTCTCTGTGCAGAAGTGGGCGTGGCCAAGACAGGTGGCTCTGAGGAGGCAGAGAGCTAAAATCACAACATTCTGTGCTCTTTTAGAGCATTTAGAAGCATTGTTTAGAATATTGCAAGAGTGTGGGAAGGGTTTAAAATGCCTATATATATATATATAGGCTATATATATATATATATATATATATATATATATATACTATCCCTACTTCGTAGTTTTTCACTTATTGCGGGGCTTTAGGTTAAAGATCCCCTGCGATAACCGAGGGACTACTATACTACTTAAAAGGGATTTTTAGTCATTTTTTACAAGTTAGAATAAACTAGAATAAGCTAAAGGTCAAAAATTGGCTGCACGGTTTGTTTTTTTAATGACTTTTAGAAAAAAAATTACGTCCAGCTTTCTTGCAGATTATTGCTCGTCTAAATTTTTTTGGTCTTTTCTTTTTTAATCACAGCACACAGTTTTAAATCTGTGAAGCTGCAACCAGACATCACACGTTCATGTTCAGTGACCTTTCATGTGTTATTCATCGTAGGCGTAGCTGGAGTTGAGCACGCTACCTTATTGGTGGCATCGATGAACTTCACTCCTTTGTAGGACACCGAGAGCACGATGGTCGGTACTTTCTTCATCTGTTCCGTTGACTTCTTGGGAGTGCGGTGAAAACAAAAAGAGATAAAAAGAAAGAGCAGTGACTTTTAAACTTTGATGTCTTTAAAGCTGAAGGACATAATTAGTCCCACTTTTTTATTGGCAAAGAAAAAAATCAGCTAGGATATCATTAAAAACACTAAGATGAATTATCTAATCTAACAATCTACTGATTACCTCCTCAGTTATCAAGATCAAAAATTATGTAAAGGTCAAATTTTGTTATAAGCTTCTTGAAAAGAGACTGAAATTTAGTTTCTGGACCAAATTAACTGCAGAGATTCAATTTTAATAAGGCTTGAAGCTATATCAGTCTCCTACTGTATATCTCATTACGCACCTATATGGAATATATTATACAGAGAGAAGCAGTGGATTTACAACCATTACCCACCCAGCTGTCATCCTACCTGCCAAAAGCTTTATTCAAAGGTGTGTGCCAAGTCCCTTTTCTCTTGTTTTCTTCTCTCATAATGGATTCCCTTTCAAAAATTCACTGATCGAGATTCTTTTCTATCCACCGGTATTCATCATCTCTATTTTTTTCCTCCTTGCTACTGCATGTCGACCCTGTCAGGATCAGGGACTGCCTTAAAAAATGGACAAAAGCCTTTCCACTTGGCTTTGTTGGCAGACACACAGCTGGGCTTGTAAGTTGGAATTTAAACATTCACGTCAGCCTCCATTATTGTCAAGGGATGGATAAAAGAAGCTATGTTGGGAGCAGGGACAAGTGAAGGTAAAGAAAGAGGTTCATTAACAACACTATAAAAGACTAGGTAATATGATATGCATCTCATTGCACTTTATTACAACCTCAGGGGTGCAAAAGTGTGTCAAGTGAGAATGGAGGAAAGCAAGATGGCCCCTGATGAAGCAGTAAATATAGAGGGGGAACGAGGCAGAGAACAGAATGCTTGGCTCATGAATATTAAAATTGATCTTTACGGTGCAGCAGTTCAGGTTGAGAGGGAAATGAACCCAGAGCTAAAAGGGGAGACGTATTACAGAAAGGATGAGCTGCAAGAAAAGACGGATAACTGCAGTAAGAAGGAAAACTGAAAGCAGCACAAGGGCATGACAAAAGGAAATTAGAAGTAAAAGGTGGATTGTGGAGGATCAAGACTACCATAAAAAGGTGGTAAAAGTTAATCCCTCAATGCACTTAATCCATCACCATGATCGTTAAGGTTTGTCTCAGTTCAAGTGCGTTCAGTCCATGGAACAGTGGCTCAAATTTAAAACAGCTCTGATATGACTAAGAATGAAGTAACCTGCACTCAGGCTGACTGAAAGCAAGGTTGGCCATTTCATTAAGCATTCGTGTCTTTTACTTGTTGAAATCAAATGTACCATTTGACTCCGTATAAGAAAAAAAGAATAACCGGTACATTTCTGAAAGTTATATTAGAATAGTAATTATTGACTGCATCATAAGTGCAGTGTGCTGAAGTTGAGCCTTACCCGCATCTTGGCACAGGCATCTTGTGTGGACTCTGTCCCCCTCAGCTCTTTCACCAGCATAGAGCCAAGGTACTGTAGAAAAGATATAAACAGATTCTGGGTAAATACACGTTCAGATAAAACGCAATCAGTATTGGATGTGACTGTTTACGGAACAGCACCAACAAAAACGTGAGCTTTAGGCTGTAAAGTTTGTTAAAGGCAGCAGAGATGTCGGAACCAGACTGAGTTCAATGCTTCGAAAAACTGGTCATGACCCACATCAAAGCAACCATCAACATCAACGAGGACCTTCACCAGTACGCATACCGTGAGAATCAATCAACAGAGGACGCCATCTCCTCTGTGGTCCACACTGCTCTCACCCACCTGGAGCAGAAGGACTCCTACGTCCGTATGCTCTTGGATTCTATTTATCATCATCGGTCATTTGGGACAACATTGGATCATTCATAGATCCTCACTGAACTTCTGGAGTGAGTTTGCTGCACTGAAAGTAAAGGGGCTTAATAATATTGCACGCCCCACTTTTCAGTTTTTTATTTGTTGAAAAAGTTCGACACATCCAATAAATTTCATTCCACTTCACGATTGTGTCCCACTTGTTGTTGATTCTTCACAAAAAATGTAAATTTTATATCTTTATGTTTGAAGCCTGAAATGTGGCAAAAGGTTGAAAAGTTCAAGGGGGCCGAATATTTTTCTTAGATCTTATTATCGTTTTTCTTTTACATTTTATTGTTGGATGTAACTGGGACCCTGTGTACATAATTTCTGAGTTGTCATTTAGGTTCCTCAAACCTAAACAGTGAGTCAAACTGTAAATTATGTTTTTGAAGCAAACTAGTAAAGCTGGACCTATGCTATTCTCCAGACAAGACGAGAACTGACCTACATTCAGTCTGCAGATGGACTTTAGTGGACAGGGACAGTCCTCCGTCAGCTTTCAGTGCAGTTTGGATGAAGATGGCTGATAAAGCCCTCAGAGAGTTCCTCAAGTCTGAACTGACCAGACACTCAGTGGAACATTATGTTTTTGTACCATTGCTGCCTTTGTCTGGGTCCAGGCTGCTGGCAGCTGTTTCACTGCCACTGGTGAACCTACTTTACACCATTAAGCCATAACATTATGACCACCGATGGGCAGTGTGAATAGCAGAGCATTTCTATGTATGAAAGTTTTTTTCTGAGCCTACAATAAAATGGTGTAAAGTGAAAATATCAGAAAAAAAAAGAATTTGGATTTTCTTCATGTCTGCCTCTTCACTGAGTATTCCATTAATTCGTATGAGCAGTGTTTCTTTAAATACATGCAGTGATTACAGCCACCTTGAAAGGCTCCCAGAGGTCCATTAACACTGCTGTCTGGCAGATCCTTCTGTCTGGATGTGACTTTACGCTATCTGATTTAATAAAGGAGCTACTAATGTTGACTGTGTTTTACTGTTTATGTCAACATTAGAGCACTTAATGGTTGTGACACTCAGCACCCTACGATGATCACCCAGCTTATAGAAGGAACCTTAATCCCTAAAGGGGAAACCTAACATGGCTTTTAGTGAATTACATGCAAAAGATTTTTGGTCTTATCTGTTGTAACTTTACAGCAAAGGACTTGTATGAAGGATTTTTAGTATTGACCTGGTTACTTACAGGCTAATTAGATTGCTGGGTAACTTTATTATACAGTAAATGCACATATTTTACAGCGGCCTCTCTTTAGAGGAGTCTACTCCTTGATTTATCAGACACTCTAGGTCACTTTGTCTTGAAAGTAGCGAACAAGATTTCGGTAGATTTTTTTTAATTATTATTTGTTATAACCTCAAAATACTTATTATAGGCAACAAGCAAGCCAGCCAAATGTTTACATTATAACTGATTCAGGTAAATTATGAACAAGGGAACTTGGTCTCAGATTGTTTAGGTTGGTGTAGACAGGGTGCTGCTCCCTCTGCTGATTGAGCTGCTATCTGCAGGGCACTAAGATTATTCTTATTTTTAGTAATTGTAATTAAAAACATAAATATGCTTGTGCATCAGATAGTTTTACACTATCAGTGTTGAGATCTTTGCTGGAAATGATGAATAGTGTGGTAAAAGGGTATTAATAATGTTAGCATCCCTGCAGGGTTTATGGGAGATGATTTTGGGCTGTGCTTGTAATTCAGAATAATAAAGTTAAGCTGTTATCCAAGATGGTGCTAAAAATGTTAAGGAGGGTTGTGCTTCTTACCAACCATCATCTTTCCAGCATTTAAAACAACTATTTCTTCTGCTTCCCGTTCCATCAGTATTTAATCCATCCAATTCATCCAACTGCCTTCACATTGTCAGTATTCACACCGTGCGCTCAAACTGCCACTCTGTTGAGACTCTGACTCATTTATCTCACTTTATGAGCTTTCTTGAGGCTGCTGTACCAAGACGGAGAGCACGGAAGATGTTGTCATGAAAACGCCACTGTTTTCTCTGGTGGCCCACCTATTATTCATTACTTCAAACAGCCCAAACACATTGAAGTCCATCAAACTGTTAGAAGCGGGATAGTCCAAGCTGCTGCCATCCAGTCTTCTCCTCACTGCCTGCAGTAACACTGAGGCAGGTACTGGATTAATCTAGCTGTCTTGTTTGTAAAGCAATGGAAGTATGGTGGGTCAAGTTCATGTGCCTGCCTCAGACAAACTGGCATGAAGAGGGGAGCAATGTTACGTAGCACACCACTCCTTACTACTGTATTTTCTGGCCTATAAGCCACACCTTTTTGCCCAATTTGCATACTCTGACTTAAACGCCGAAGCGACTTATTTATGGATTTTTTTCCAATATTTATAAACCAATTTTTGACAGAGATCTGAAAATTGTATTCATTCTGACATTGAAAATATTGAACACTACCATTTTCAGCTGCTAGATGACACTCGAGTAGTATGGCATGCCTTGTGTCATGTAATAGGTAAAAGTGGCTATTAATGACACAATTGGCTTGCATAGCCTGCCACCTTGGTCCAGCTCCGGGATAATGCTTTCATTTCATTTCATTTCATTACGCTGCACCGCCCCGGTGAAATGCAGCAAATTTGACCTTTAAAGTGCATTTATTAAGTAAAAGTTCAACTGAGACGCACCTTTACTATACAGTCGAGCAAACAAATAATTGTTTTTAGGTGGTTATCTTGTTAAAGTTCGAAAAAATGCACAGCGAGTTGTCCCTCTGCGCACAAATAATTGTTTTTAAGTGTTAATATTGTTAAATTCTTGTTAAAGTCCTCCCGTGCACGCTTCTACGGTCACCCTTTGGCAGCCAATCGATTTTTGGCCCACCGGCCCACATTTCCAGGTTGTCAGCGATGACGCATAATAGGTGCGACTTACACGGCGAAGCGACTTATTTATGGATTTTTCCAAATTATTAGACATTTTTGGACTGATGCGACTTATACTCTGGTGTGACTTATAGGCTGGAAAATACGATAACACTGCTGTTACCTGCTTGTAGTTATCGTTTTGGTTTTATTCTCCACCAAACACTGAAAAGCAGCAGCTTTACAGTGCATCTTTTCGGTGTCAATACGGTGCAACGTCGGTGTGTAAATATTGTAGCAGTTGTGGTTTTAGTCATATTTTGTGCAGTAGGAGCAGCACAAAATATTTCTGAATATTTAGATACACGAGTGCATCCAAATTATAACAAATATTTATATTCCCCTTTCAATATTTCTTAGTGGTGTTCAGTTTTTTCTGCAGCGCTCGTCTTGCTTCAGGTGTACACAGTAAGCATTTCAGTCTGGATGCTCCATAAACCTATGTATAATGTTACTATGTACCTATTGTAACCTTTAAGATAGAACAGTATATGTAGTTGAATAAATCTTAATAAAACATCCCAATGACAAAATCAATTAAATCTGGCCGTTTGATGTATATACATGTCGCTGTATTCTCTTAATCTAAAATGAAAAGGCTGAACTCACATAAGCTTCGTAGTCACAGGACTGAAAGATGAGCTTCTCCGGGTGATGCTGCCAGTACTGCACAGGGGTGGACGAGGTGGCCTCGTTGGGCGGGCGCAACGTTATTGGCTCACACCATTCACCTGCCTGAAATCCAAACCGTTCACACATCAGGAAACAGCTACATTCTAACAAGTGTTGACAGAATAAACGCCTGGAGGACTTGATTTGAGGAACACCTAAGAGAAATTTAAACTAGTATGACATTCTCAGCTTGTGCAACTTCTCGTGTGAGCTGAAAACTCTGCTTCTGCCTCCTGAGCTTTATTTTCTATAAACATCAGAATTAAATCTGTTTAAATTACATAGTTCTCAAACATCTGGGGATAAAAGGTTAGCTTGCATTTCATTACTTTGTAATTGAAATCAGATTTTATAGCCTTAAAATATTCACGTATTTGACTGTTTTTATTTTTCCAGAAAGTCGGTGAAGGAATGTTAAGGAGGGGGTTTTCAACACACAAAGATGTTCAGTAAACATCTCCAGAATATATTAAGTCTTAAGAAACAAAGACAAACTAAAGCAGGTTAAATGCTGCTGATTTGAACTTTTATTAATTATTTGTTATGGCCTACTTTAAAACCCAACAGATGGGTGTAAAGGTTGTGTAGTAATTACTGTTTGGGAATTTTTCCTCCCTCAAAACAAAAAGATGACCAGCATCTAACAGACCTAACGATAATAATAAAGTCAGAATGAGGGAAATGACACGGGGAGAAGATCCTTCCTGTGACATTATCTTTCTATTCCTGCCAAGCTGAGTCACTGGTGCCACCTCAGAGTGTTGTTTCTGGAAAAGAGGAGATGCACGAGCATCTAGGATCCAGCAGGATAACTGAGTGTGTGCTAGTCTGCAATGATGAGCTTTGTGTTTCACGCCGAGACACAAAAAGACCCTAATCAAGCTCAATCACAACACAGCTGCAGTGGTGGATGTTTGCACACGTGTGGGGACCTGAATTCTGCTGCTGTCACTGATTACAAGTCACACAGTCTTATTTTGCATTTGAAATAAAAACATTTTCGGAAAAACATATTTATTATGTCTATTATATTAAACCTATTACTCTATATACAAATATATACAGTATATATATATATATATATATATATATATATATATATATATATATATATATATATATATAGTTGGATATTGGATTGTTAGTTATTTTAATAGTGCCTTTGTTCTAAACTGCTTCTGTTTACAGTAGTAAGTTTAAAAACATGCCAAAATGATAATGACATTTCATACTGTAAGTTATGGTTACTACCCCCCTGCTTCCTGCCTCCATTCATCCCTCTCCTCCCATCCTCACCATGCTGACTTGAGCCATCTGTCGCTCCAGCTTGGACCGCGGCACGTCCTCAAAGTAGTTCTCGGTGCTGCGCTGCCTGCGCCGGGCGTCCGCCTGCATAATGAGGTGCTGGACGTCCAGAGATCCACCAGGGACCCCCGCTGTATACGCTGCCTGGCCGACCGAGGGGCTGAGCTGTGGAGGGGTGTGGTTTCCCCCGGGCTCCTGGAAAACACGAGCGCGATAGAGAGGGTTCATTCATCATTTCATATTGTGCCACTGCTACAAGCTCAGGCAGATGCAACATTTTGGTTTCCAGCTTCCGTTTCAACGTGAAACAAAAGAAACGTGTTGGTGTGTGTGTGTTCATCACAGCGCTGGATCCTCATCCACACAGTCAGTTCAAGTTAAATTATTGGTGAGCTTTTTACACAAATAATAAGGATCATTTAGGAAGTTATCTAGCAGGATCTAAAACATTTAAAAGAAGAATGATTTTCTTTATATTGAAGTTTTAAATGTACTTATTTTCTTGACATTTTTGATAGAACAGCTTTTCATCCACACTGAAGGATGCTGCATCTTGTACACATCGTGGACTGAGCAGTCGCTCTGCTTGATTCACAAGTTGTGTTCATATTGTTGAAGTATCATTGTGAATTTAGCAAAATACAAGAATAATGAAAGCAGAGACCATACAAATTTCTTGGGCGACTGGTTAAATCCAGACTTGATGATTGTTTCTGAAAGTATTTTATTAAAAGGCACTTTTTTTTTGTTTGGACCTACAGAAATGAACCAACAATCTAATTTTTAGCACTTCTCTTGATGCACGGGGCCTTTGCTGGCTTCAGAGCACAAATAACAAGAGATCATTTTATGAACATTACAGAGTGCTAATGACCGGAGAGGAAATCCTCGTCCTCATAATTATTATTCAGAACAAACCATCAGAAAGACAAAGGCAGTTTGTGGCTGCCTCAGAGATTTGGGGGCTCAGTTGGATGGCAACAGCAAGAGCAATAAGGCCGGATCTCCCCAATAAAAACATGTTTGTTTCCTACTTCCTCTGTCGAAGCCATAATAACTTTGATCTGTGTGGTTTTAAATATGACTAAGCATTATTGTATTCTGTACAATGTCCCACTGCTTACAGATAATCACTTACCCGTAAGGAGATGGCCCGTGGAGGTTTTTGTGGAGTGTCTTCGTGTAGCCGGTCTCCCAATGAGGCCAGGATCCGTTTTCTGTGTCCAATAAGATTGATCTTTAACACCTAAACAAACACAGAGACAAATATATATATATATAAAATGTTATCAACTGTAGGAGTTGACAAGGATTCTGATATTCTGGACAAAATGCATGCTCTTGCATACAGTTTCAGCTTTTTTTACACAAGAAATAAGATGGTACCATCGTTGCTGAATGAAGAATTGAGACCTGAAACTTAGAATAAATAATGACTTATTTTATTTACAGTGCTTTTGTGTAAAAACAAGACCCTGAATGTTTGCAGATGGCAAAATGTGTATAAACGAAGGTGATCAGCGAAAAAAGTTTCATGGAATGAAACATTAAAGAATAAAAGGGATTTGAAAAAGTTCACTTTAGATCTCAGGCATGTGATTACTGCACAAGCAACACTGACACACAGGTCAAAGACCATCTTTGTTATTATTCATACTTTATAAGAACATTTTTTCATCTGTCACTTGGTTCTTATTTAAATATTCCTCCATCCATCCATTTTATTTTATCCACTTCTTCCTTTTTGGGTTACAGGTTTCACTGGTGCCCATATCCAGCTGTCACTGCAAGGGACAGGGGACATCCTGGACAGGTCTTCAGTCCATCACAGAGACAAACAACCATTCACTCTCACTCACACCTAGAGACGGTTTAGAGTTACCAATCAGTCCAACATGCATGTTTTTGGTTTGTGGGAGGAAACTGGAGTACCTGGAGAAAACCCACACATGCACAGAGAGAACATGCAAAGTCCACCCAGAAAGGTCCCCAGCCGGGATTTGATCTGGTAACCTTCTCACTGAGAGGTGGCAGCTCAACCAACTGATCCACCGTGCCGCCTATTTAAATTTTCATTAGTACATAAACATGTTTTATGAACCGGTCACCCTCTGTTATTTTAATAAGATACTTGATTGGACATGCAGTTCATATAAACAGAAAAGCAGCCAACCTGAAACTGACCCTAAAACCAGAACACACTGTTTTCTGGACCTCGGTGTAATACGAGGTTAGTCTTTGAGCTTCAGAGCAGACAGCGGTGGATTTTCTTTAAGTAAGTTAACCACCGCCTGCCATAATACTTTTCTCATGGTTTTAACTTTTCTCTTAATGCATGTTCACCTGTAAAGTTTTGCTCCATAACATTTAAAATGTTAATTTGACAACATTAGACTAAGGCAAGTTTGTAATTGTCTTATCGATTCTCCTCAGGCACTCATTTCATGAGAACACACAGACAGTAAGACGCAGCAGGTCCTTCAGTCGTTGGTCACCAGGCTCTCACTGTGCCAGGACTGAGCTGCTTTAAGACGAGCAGGGACGTGGCAGCCTGCTGCACTGATGTTTCTGGCACCGCCTGCACCTTCTGGCACCACAGTAGTTTTTTTCATTATTTTATGTGCCTGCTGCTGGAGGTCTGTCAATAAATGTATACAAGAGTGTGAAAAAGATTGTGTGTGTTTGTCTCCAGGGCAGGAGGGTGATAATTAGTCTCCATACGAAGCCTTTTTGTCAGTTTAATGATTCCCCCGACAGTCTTGCTTTGAGTCAGCGCAACATAAAACCTCTTCCACCAATTAACGTTCCACATCTGCTGAACAAACAGTGGACAGAACCAAAGAGGACGCACGATCAGAGAATATCTGCCATGCATACTGAATCGTGTTTATGAACAGTCAACACTTCCCCATCTTTTTTTTTAAAGGTTTAATTTTATCCGTCATCACTGAATGCATAGAAGCACTCTAAGTTGTGAATACAGTAGTCCCTCGTTTATCGCAGGGATCCGTACCGATAAGAGAAAAACTGTGAAGTAGGAATAGTAGTACAAGTAGTAAGTAGTTGTTTATTTTATTATTTATAGAGATATATATTAAGGCATTTTCAACCCCACACTCTTGCAATATTCTAAACAATGTTTCTCAACTCTAAACGCTCTAAAAGAGCACAGAATGTCATGATTTCAGCTCTCTGCCTCTGCTGCTTTTGGCCACGCCCACTTCTAAGTTCTGCACCTGATCAGCTGTTTAACTGCAGCAGGAAGTTTATCCTGCAGGAGGTGCTAAATAATTTATTTTAAATAAACATTTCATGCCGATCATGCAGCTCATCCATCAGTCAGCCAATTGTGAGTCATGTCCAATCTTATTTTGAAAAACCACGATAGAGCGAATCCACGATAAACAAACCGCGAAGTAGCGAGGGACTACTGTAATAATATATGCAGTGGACAACAATAGCTTAAAGTACAATCTATACGTTTTATTTTTGTTTTGTTTTTAGTGACCTACACAAGTTATTTCAGGCAGAGCTGAAATGAGCACGTGGAAATATTACAGCTGTGTCACGCTTCACCCAGAAATTTTTACTTACTCATCCTTTCTGTCCTTTTTTTTTTTTTTAACTCAAGCTCTTACTCCAAAACATCTTTCAAAGTCTAATTAGTTTCTTACAAGTAAAAACTGTAACTACAGTATTTAAATTATCAATAAAATGTTGGTCACGGTTAAAAACAAACAAACACCAGAATGTTTCCTCTTGCACCCTCCAACTGGTGACATTAACGTTTCTGGTAGTCAACAGAATTATATAAATTTGTATAAAAACAAAAAAAAAAAAACAGGATTGCTTTAATTTTGCACTGAAGAAAAAGACCTGGATGATGGGTATTTTTAGTGTATAGAAAAGATTATGAAATATTCAGCCCTCTACGTGTCTCCTGTGGGGCAACAGCATGACTCAGTCCCCTCATTCCAGTTTCATCACACACACACGCACACACACAACCGCACACCAAAAAGAGCACGGCAACTGCTCTGCATGGTGCGAATCAGTGTGTTACTCTTTGCCTTATGCAACAGCATCCACTTCAAATACACTAGAAGCCTCCACCTCAAGTTCAATTGTCACCATAGCAACAATGAGCTGCTGCAGCAGTCACCCACACACACTCATCTTCTTTAAAAAAAAAAAAAAAAAAAAAATGGATGTGCACTTACTCACACAAACAGCCTAAACACATGTTCAAAGCCTAGAGTAGAAGATTATATTGCCCCTGATCGGATGAGGATTTGATTACAACCTAACTGTTATTAAATCTCTCCTGCTCTGTGATGTCTGGCTGCACCGGCCCATTTCCATTTAAATTACACTCAAAGCAGTTGTCCATACTGACAGGAGACATATACATAGACTCCTTTGTAGCCCCCGTGTCACCGTGCACTTGTTTCATATTCATTAGAACTCCGTTCACATCGACTCGGAGCTCAAACGATACAACCTTGATAAGAAAACATTTGTACGACGTTCTGTTCCAGCAGCGTTTTAATGCACCAACAGACAAATAAATTTGGCGAAGCAAATGTTTGATGGCTGCTGACACCACTGGAAGTCATATTTTTCATTATTCTGTCTCTCCATTTCTTGTTCTTAAAAATAGTATTAAAAAAAGTCTAATTTATTTCTTACTGTTTACAATATTAGCTGACCGAGAAAGCTGTGTTTGCTTGTTGAGAACTATGTGCAAATTAAAGGTAAAACGAGATGAGTGGTCAAGCCTCGGGCCTTTTGGTGAGTGGAGGCTGTCTGGTCCTATAAAAGAGCAACTGTGGCTCCATTTGCAGAAAAAAAATGTCCATGTTGGTTCTGATAGAAACGTGTCAGCACACACAGCACATCACAGTCTGTTGCATAAAAGGCTGCGAGGCTGCGGGCACGCTGAGCCACAGTCACACCTAGAAGCATCAACAACTCACACAAAGGCACCAGAACTGGATCATGGCGCTATAGAAGAAGGTGGTCTGGTCTAATGACTCATTTTATTTCATGTAAATGAGATCATCTGAGGATTTGGGCAGCAATCGCAGCAAACGGGGTCAAAGCTGTTTGGTAGCAAATTAGTAAACTTCTTACAATGTGATATACAAGTTTAAAATAATCATTAGTTAATTAAAACATCTGAATTAATTACAGACTTGGCTACTTGATGCTGTTACTTCCACACAGTTAATGTTAACCTGCAGATCAGGAGTCCATCAGACCAGGCTGAACAAATGTAAATTTAAATTTACGGTATGTAAAATTATTTATTTTTTGTGATGGACTTAATATTTTAATATACACAGGTCTGCAGGGTGGTATATTTTAAGAAATGACCACTTCTGTTCATGTCTCTTTCCTCTGCTGGACTCAGTCCAAGTTATTTTTCATGTAATAGTAAACCTACGAGCTAATCTTGGCACAAATAAGTTCAAACTATAACTTTTCTAAAGAACGCTCTTTTCCACACCAGTTTGTGGGAAAGTTGTTTTGTATGAAATGGGTCCATGATGTAGAGCAGTGTCAAGGCTGCCTCCTTGTGAAAATAATAATAATAATAAAATAGTGATTTTTTTAGTTTTAAATGAATATATGTCTTGCTTCCAGGTGTTACTAAAGCCAGATGTGTACAGCTGAGCTCATAGTTCAGGGTAAATGTTCACTCTGATGGAAACAGAAATACAATTTTAAGCCGTAAACCTTACTAATAATCAGGAATTTATTTTTAAAAACTACAAAAGTAGAAAGTCGATTAACAATCTGTACATATTTAATGTAAAACCTTCCACTGTGTCACCTCACTGACTCTATAAAGACACGACACACAGTCCCATGGAACACAACCAGTGGAGTCATGACGATTAAAATAATTTAAAAGAAAAAAAAAACAGCAAACTATTAAATAAAACTGCAACTTCTGATTTAAAAATAAGAATTTGTGCTTTCAGGTAGCTGGACGTACTCGTATGTTCAGAATAAAGAAGCACAACACCTCTTTATGATGGTCGTCATCACACGGCAGCATGTCATATTGAACATATTTCACTGACTCTCCTCCATACATCATACGCCAACCTGCTTCTGTGTGGACAGTGAAATGTACAGGAATGATGTCACTGAGCAGCTGCAGTCCACTGAGGGTCTGTGTGCCCCACGGTTCTGATATTATTACTCCAGTCTGAAGTAATCTGGAGCACAGTTAGCCTC